AGCAATGCTGTTGATAGGAAACGAGTACTCATTAAGGATGGCAAATCAATAGATGTAGTATTGAAACTTCATCAGTTAAGGTGTCTGGGACATGTGTTACATATGCCTAACCACCGAATGCCTCGTCGAGTTATGTTTTAAGGTGTAGGGATAGGTTAGAAGAAAGTTGGGGGTGGCCAGACCAAATCATGACAGAAATCCATGAAATCACTGTCAAATGGAGTGAGTCATGTTGGTAGGTGTCGACTACCTGGTTGGGGCCCGCGAGATGATAGTAATCGATGGTGAGAGACCCTGAATGATATTGCTGAAAACCGTTTGCAATGGCGCAAGTGCATCGATTCTCTGTGTTCTCTCCAACCCTGGTCTGAACTGCTCATGACCTTCATCTTTCTTTTCTTAAATTTATTCAAATAGGTTACACTCCTCGGATAATATTTTCGAACCCAAATTTTCTCTATTGCCGCTAAAACTTCTAGTGTCTTTACCACTATAGGATTTGAAGTGAAAGTTGCGTCTCTATGCTAATGTAGTATGGCAAGCTGAACTGATGTACGTGTGTACGAAGTTCTACGTTGTAACTGACTGACTGGACACTTAATGATATGGAATGCCTAAAATGATATTTTACTGTGACCTAAATAGTATAATAATAATAAGGTCTCTAATCAATGACACTTGATAAACTGAGTTTTAGTTTCTTGAATGAACATTAATTTACTCAAGCTATAGCTGCAACCTTATTGTTATAAATACTAATTAACATAAAAAACCTAAGAATACAGTTTCGTCCTAGTTGCTTACAAATCATTACTCTTTCGGTTGTGATTCAGTTAATGAGCATAATATAGGTATACAACAATAAAGATTGATTCATCGAAGAATTCATTTTCAAAGTTGTACAAACACAAATATATGCTTGTTTTTCACATGGTGTCAATTGCATTAATAATGATAATATAAATTTTGTTGAATGTGATAATAGTGAGGTAAATTAGATAACGTTATGAAACATTATAATGTTTTTGTTGTTAAGACCTGGAATATTCATTATAAAGATTAATAAAGAAATTATAATTGACAAGGTTCAGTGTGATTAGATAAAATGTTCAAATTGAGAAGGACTGTAATCAAGCGATTCATGGAAGCAGAAACAAATCAGTTAAGTAAAAAGGTCTATAGAAAAGAAGGTAGAATGGAATCAGATGGCTGTGAGGGAAGAAAAAAAATGTATTTTTACGAAAGGTTTAGACCATGGTAGACCATGGTTCTACCAGTTTCTTCTGTTCATATAATTATAGTTTATCCAGATGCATGGTAAATGCTTGGGTAATGCTACGAAGATGGCAGCTAATTTCCTTGTAAATGACTTTGAACACAGAATCTGTTTTGACCAAATGACTTGTGTTCAGTAGGTGTTCGCTCGTTGGGCCTATTATTGGCTCGTTTATTATTTTAAATATCACCATTTGGAAAAAAGTATATATTTGCGTTTCTACAGCTTTGAAAATCAAAGAAAGGAGGAAAGCTTTTAGAGTTAACAACACTTTTGTTGTCTAACTTCTCAGGGATTGAACTTTCACCAGGAAATTCACTTTTTGATTTCGAATATGCAAATGACACATTCTGTTTGCTGAAGTCACTGAAAAAATTCAGAACTCTTCGAACACCTTAAACAACAATGCAAGCATGTTTGAGATGCGATTCTCCCCCTCCATATGCAAAATGTTACTTCAGGATTGGCTTGCGTCGGCAGCTGATCTAATAATAGGTAGTGAAGTAATTGTACGTGTCGACTGCTTCACTAATCTTGGTAGTTTCATCAATCCTAATGGTTTGGTGCCTATCTCGGTACAAATAGGCATTGCTTGACTGGTTTGTGCGAGATCGTGTCACTTGTGGATTAAGCGAGATGTCCGTCTACTAACTAAGGGAAGAGTTTACTGTGAGGCAATTCTCCCCGTCCTCTTTAATGGGTGTGAAACAAGGAGGACCCGTAAATTCCCTTGCTAACGATCTCGCTGTCTTATTGCTTTGTTATCCTCGACACTGTACACCAGTCAATTAGTCGCCAAAATGAGAATGGTCGTTATATTCTGACAAACCAAGTTGAATATGAACAAATCATAATGATAAAAACGTTAGCATATTTATAATTTTCACCCAAGTATTATCTAGGACCTTCACCAGCGCTGACTGGCTGAGAACGCAACAGTCAGCATGCCCTAAAATAATCCTGCATTGGACATGCTTTGATTTCATCTATGTCCTACTAATTGTCCTGGTACGGCTGAGAGTTGTGAGATTCCTCTCGGTCTCTCGAAATATCCTCATATTGCCATGCGTATATTGCCACTATCACGGATGCCCTACTCACTGCTTTCGCCTGGCGGTAGTGTTGTTTGCGAAATTGCGAGGAAAAAAAGCGACAGTCCGGGTTGGTGGGTACGAAGCATCAATCTAGGGGAGTCGGAAAACCCTTATTTTAAAGTAATGTTGCGCATGGACTCCAAGATTCTGACGGAACGAATGACGTATGAACCTATTGTGATCATTGGCTAGCATGGGCATCAACTCCTGATGTTACTCCATTGCTTTGTGGATTAAACTTCTAGGTGAAAGCCTCCTAAGAATACTACTTGCTTTGGTTTGGGAACCCCGAAACTATTCCAGCTGACACAAATATATTCACTGATCTACTTGGCACATAAATATTTAGATGCCGCTTTGTACTAATATCTGTGTTTGAAGAGAAAAATATCCTTATTATAAAGCTTCTGTAATCTAATCACATAGTTTTGGGTATTATTGGTTTTGTGCAATTTCTCACAGCTATGGATATATCTATATATATCCTTCAATATAGTACTATTTACTTCCTTTTATTTCTTTGATTTTTTCGATTTCCTTTTTTATTCTTTCATTTTATTTTCACAGCATCACATAGCATTCCTTTTTCACTCCTTTGCTATTTTGTACTTTTTTTATATTTTGCTTTCATTGTGTTATTTTGTACCATTAAAACATGACTACTTAGATCAAAACACATTTTCGCCATGTCTCACTTATCTATTGACTGTTTCTCTCTGTCTAGTCCCTTGGTACATCGTAAATATAATCATTTTGGTTTTTTCATAACATATGTTATATCATAAAGGTTTTTTATTTTTGATTTGATTTGCGCCTATATTCATATAAGATGTTATGTTCAAATAAATTACAAATTACTTTCAATTACTAGTATTCATTTGTTCAATTTTAAGAGCTGCATAACTGCACTAAATTAATTTCACTTTAGTAAATCTGAAAACATTTTAGATGGAAGAATGAAATTGTTAACTAACGAAATGATTAAGCCAGTTTGATCAAAAATATTAGACTGCAAAGAAGAAAAAAAATAGTTAATTGAGTTTGATGTACACTACATACATTGATTACTTTAATTAATTGAATCCAATTCAAACAAAATCTGTTAAACTTGTTGTGGGCGTTAGATCCCCAGAACTCACTTGATAAATGCCTTATTTTGGATTTCACGTTCGCGAGCATGAGCTGATCAGTTGATCTTGAGATTTCGTTCCCCACCAGGAAGATCCTTGGCTGTGATTGGCTGCTGTGTATTTTAGTGTGCTATTTTTGTGACTGTCCCAAGGACGTTTCTATGATGTATAAATAAACGAGATTTCTGTGCTTGATTGTATTGTGCTTGCTGGGTGTTTGTAGAATTTACTTTCTACGCTATATCAAGACTTTTGGTTAGCCATTGGATCAGAGTAGCCTACCTGGACGCTGGTTCATTGTCTCGTTCGCGTTTATCGACTAAGGTGAACCTTTAATAGTTTCAAGCATACTTAGTGACGAACCTAACAAAACTAATATTCAATTGTTGTTTTTGTTTTAATTTTAAAGTCTATTCTCTTCTACTTTAGCTTCTATTATCAGTAAATTTAGACCATATACTGAATGAATCTGTTTGTGTGCTCAATGTTCCAACAACTCATATTAGTGTTTATTCATTTTTTTTCTCAAAACTTGTCTATATTGTTCATGGTTGCAGTTGAATTGTTGTTAATTCAAATTGTGAATGCACCATGTTTTGCCAATATGTTTTTCAATATCGTTGTTTACTATTAAAGTGAAATCATTGTTTTCCATTTCAATTAATTGTGATTTGTTCAAAACTTTGAAATTTCATTGTTATAATCCATAACTCTATTGATAAGATCGGATTTTGTTAATTTGAACAACTGGGACATGATAAATAAGTTTTTTTAAAAAGTTCATTTATCGAAATATCAGCATGGATAATTAGGATGAGACTATAATTTATAGGTGACCTTTAAGTGATGCCAAAGTGACTGTGGTGCTATTCACCTACTTACTAGGGTTAAAAAAGGATTATAAATTGGCATGAGAAATAAGGAATAGGTTTTTAGGGCTAGATCAAAGCGTTAGGAATTAGAATTAGTGTTTTTGTCACGAACTCACATCAGCTATAATCACAAAATGTTAGTTAACCATATGAATAAATAAATTTCGTGCTATCGAAAATGTAATTGGTTAGTCCATAAATTATAGCCTCGTTGGTGCCCTTCAAAGCATACTGTTTGTATAAGAACTCTGAATAAGTAAAGGACGTAATCAGGTACACAAACTAAACTAAACGGAGGTTGGTTGAATATTGTGGCTATATTTGAAAGCTGAACCATTGATGGGACCACTACAGTACAACTCAACTTTCAGTCAGACTTTCCTATGAACGCCATTACTAGTACTTGGTTCTCTAAATAAGATTCACTGAAAAGCAACTCAAATACACTATTCATTAATTGAAAATTAAATATTTTAATCATTTACATTTCAAACCCTATTTAAATTATTCTCTTTTTGTGTCGTACTACATTTTATTCTTTAACATTACTCATGTCAAACGGAACTGATGTTGACTATTCCACTATATCTGTCTTAACTCTCATAATTCAATTTTTTTTTCTCCACAGGTTGAAATGCGTAATTATGATGAATTTTTCAGTGGCATCTGTGGTTTTTTTGTAGTTGATGATTTTATTCGTCATACATTATCCGGTTCATCAGTATTTTATCAAACATATTTAGATGAATTATGGGTGCATACAGTGAATCGTTTAGTAGATTTTGTACATGTTAATGCCAAATCATGTAAATCACCAAATGATTTAATTAAATTAAAAGATTATTTAATTATTTTTGAAAGAACAATGGAAAATTTAGGTTTTTCAATAACTGGTCTAAGTGAAACCATTGGTATTGTTCAACGATACTATCATAGATTATTAGCTAGTCAATGGAAATCTAAGTAAGTTGATTTAAAAAATTTATTTCTATGTAATGCCTAATTTTAATGGTTTGTTTGTTATTTCACTCTTTTAATGAGGTAGATTTGTTACTGTTCTGTTTAGTCAAGTACTATGTTAATTACAAACTACAAACCATTGGGAGATTCTTGTACTATGAATTGGAATCTACGCAAGCTATATAGATTGGATGATTAATACACTATAACATCTACGTTAATAATCCACATGCTAATTTGTAAAAAAGATGACTTTCAAAAGAACTTTATCAGAGGCTAAAATTGTAATAATAACTCAACTCTGTGTATAAAATAACAAGTGTAACCTTGAGAGATACATAGAAAGTAAAACAAATGAAATGCGAAACAACTAATCAGATATCACCACAGGTTGACGAGTAAATATACACTGTTAAAAAATGTAACTGCGAGCTTCCTTTCATGTCAGAAATATCGTTTATCAATAGAAATAAATAAAAGCTAAGTGATTTGACTTCATCTTAGGTTTTACCTTTTTTGTTTTTCTAAAGAATATCAATGCTAAATCAATCTCTATGGGATTATGTGCTTTGAACTTGCAATAGTGATGTGATTAATACTAATTTGATTGTGACCAATATGGTCTCGTGTGCTGTTACGGATATGAGGGCAGATGTCATTTCCGGGCTGCCCACATAATGGAAGGTTGTTAACTGAGGAACCTGAAAAAGAAGTTAGATTGGCGTTGGCCTTAGAGACCTCGGACAGATTGGGAATAATTTTTAGACATGATTATAATTACTGCAGGATTTCTCCAGTTTTCTTTTCCCAATCCTTTCTTTTGTCGCAACATAATAGTAGTGAAAAAACTGATCCATTTAATATGACGAACTATATACATTTCCAAAGTTGATTGTTACTTTGTTTATTAGTGTTAAGTAATATTTAAATCAAATCGACCTCAATCATCCTGGTGTACTAAGTTTACTCAACTTGATTAGTGAATATTATTTAACTAGTATTTGTCATTGATCTTGTGTAATATTTTATCTGAAAGTTAATTCAAAAGAGATTTGTGAATGAAAACTATCCTCAATTGTAGGTAATGTTTTTTTTCAACAGATTAGGGGTACTTTCAAAAACCAGGGATCACTGGACAGATGTTTCATTCTTCGGTGGCACTTTTTAACTTTATACGCTCACAGTTACACCCAGTGATTGAACTCAGGACTTTCAGTTCTAGCAGTGAACATTTAATCATTGAAACTCCTACTAAACCAGCGTCCAATAACGTAATTTAAACTTCGATCAGTTTAAGTTGTAGTACGATTTTCATTGAATCTCACCGGTGACAAATATTTCACTCCCAACATGTTTGGAATCTTTTATAAAAATAAACTCATTATTATACTTTTTTTTTTAAATACCATAAACATTTACATTTCTCTAAATAATACTTTCTATCTTGACATAATTTTCATGCAGATTTGAAACAATAATTGCTGAGGATAATTATGAAACAATTAAAATATTGAATTCGGAACAGTTAGCTGAATTCCTTAAAATGTATCCACCAGGCGATACAGTGGAATTTTCCGAACTTCCTTTTCCTAGACAATTGTGCTTTTCATGGATGGTACCTAAAATTTATCAAACTGTTCGTGAATACATTGATTTGTGTTATCGATTTTGTGAAAATATGGATTTAGCATATACAGAACTAGAAGATACAATTAATCGTGCTACAAATTTCTTATTTAGTCAATGTTTAAATACAGTTTTAACTTCGACCGTTCGTTCATCCTTACGTCAATTACCTCGACTTACACAATTTTGCATAAACTTGGATGAGTTGGAAACAGTTTGTGGGCATTTGGATAATTATCTTCAATATACCTTATTAGATGAGGCTTCAGGTATAACCAGTGGTCGTTTAAAAGAAGATTTCACAATGATCAGAGTAAGTTTCACTATCTTCCCTGTCTTTCCAATCTCTAAGATTACTGATGGTGTCGTTTCCATCTTATACAGTTCAAGAAGAAATAATTTTCCACATTGTGGGCATTTAGAAGTAACAACTGTCCATACACTGTTGTAGTACTCTAGACCGACAACTACATAATACTAATGGTGTTATTCGCCTAGTTAGCAACTAGAATTAATTTTTTCTTAGCAGATTACTTAAATCTCTTTTTAATTTGTTGAATAAATGTCTATGAAAAATATAGTTATCAATTATAAGAGTACATTGAAATTTCCCATGTTATAGTAATCATTTACATAGAAAATTTGATTCAGAAACACAAGTGTATGATTCCGCTACACATATAAAATTTTGTCTAGTTTGCTCAAAGTGATATTTTCAACAGTTTTATCTCATGTTGTTCATTTTGTTCAAATTACTTTACATCGTCTATTGTTTTAGTTCGCCTTAATGTCATGCTCAAATTCTTGTATCTGATTGTGAACAAATACAATAAATATGAACTATCTTATTACTTAAACTAGTTGAAGTCATGTTCTCTTACTACGAAGCAATGATTAAAAGTCAACTGTCTTAACTGCTATATATATATATATATACTATACGTTGAAACATATTCTCGCTTTTCAAAAAAAAACTTTTTTTCTACAGGATGATCAACGTGACGATTCAAATATGACTGCATCAGTTACACTAAACTCTGGAGCTAATCCACCACGTAGCCGATTACAAGGTGCATCACTGTTGAAAGACATACGTGCATTGGTTGAAGATCAAATTTGTAATCATTTAAAGACTAGTGTTGCAGAGTTCATCAATTTAAATAACTATAATGATACTGATGACAATAATAGTAATAATACTAGTAGTAGTGAAACTGTTGATGGACGTAATGGTGTAAGTTATATAACTGGTGTAAAAGTTAAACCAACTGAGAATATTGTACATTTAACATCATGGTTGAAATCAGTATTCGATTCATTTTCAAATCTACCTCCAAAAATCACTCAAACTGCTTGTATATCAGTGTGTAAACATATTGCTCGTTTATTGTATGATGTTTTATTCGGTAGTCAAGTGAGTTTATATACGTATATATAATTCAACGAAAATAAATTTTAAACAATGTGTACGTTTTTATATCAGTTACACATAATTAAGATTTAATGGTGGAGTAGTTGGAGATTTTTTAATGGACTCTAATGTATTGTATAGTGCTTTCGGTCTCGCTCGCAAATGGGCATTCAGTAGTGTGCAGTTCACGATATTCCATGACCATCTATTGCCGTGATGGACGTGATCAATGGAATCCAACCATATCGGGGTCGAAACATTTATCCACCGCAGAAAAAAACTACTTGTTACTTTTTAACGGAGTTACTATTCGAAACTAAAGTCAACTAAAAGAATATTGAAAAACAGGAAGCTGAGAACCACTTTCTTCTTTATTCTAGAACACTGGAAAATCACAATCCTGTACAAGATTGAGCGAAATATATACAGGCAATGTAGTTAGCAGATATTTCTAATTCATCGATATCTATTCACAGTCCACTCATATTAAGGAAGCAGAGTGCAATGAATAGCTGTCAAATGATCTTTACTTCCTAATTACTCTTTCATTCGTGAAATCCATCCTAAGAATACGCAAATCTCTGTAAAACGTTTGTAAGTAATGCCTATGTAAATACCATAGTGGCTCAATCGAAAATCATCAAATGATACATGTATATAATAGATAGTCCAAGAAATGACTTTAGTGTGGATAGTATGAGACATTACTTACTGATAGGCTCAATTCCCTACAAGACAGATACATCTGTATGTAAATAACTTCCTTCCTCACAGACCCATTCACTCGAAAAGAAAATCCGAAGAGTGGAGAAATCTGTCTGGGTTAAATCGGTTCAAATATAAAAGATATAGAGAGAGTAGTGTAAACCGATCGATCATATTTGTTCATATTTCATACTGTATTCCGTTTGAGTTTGATTCTACTTGTATTTCTTTGTTTTATTATTATTATTATTATTTATCAAACTCCATTGAAAGTTGTTCAAATTTATGCATAAATTCAAAGTGTACTAATATTTGTTTTGTTATTATATGCAGATTAAAATACTTTTTTTTTTCATTGTTGATATTAAAGTCGATTGATATTGATAATAATTTAATCAACCTCAATGTTTCAACTTGTCGATAAATTTTTCATCTCTACATGTTCAGTTGAATAATTTAATTAGATTATATACACTGACATTTATAATTCATTGATTGTTTCGTATGATTCATCAAAGCTTTATTACTTAGAGATCTGAATTTACAATCAGTAGTATTTCAATGTTTTCTCGACTAAGTTAACGAGTAAACATCACGTTATCAAATGGTAACCTACAATATAAGTTATTTATTCAAAAAGCTCTAACAAGTAAGGTCTCAGTCATTTGTTAACCAGTGTTCAACCCTAGTACAAACATACATTAGCCTAACTTACCATACTGCGGCACGATGAAATTAATATGTTAGGAAGAAAAGGAGTTGAAATAATTGTAACTGTAATGATCAGAAAGAAGACTAAACACTAGGAATACGTTTTGATGAGATGAGATCAAAAATTACGCATACAGTTATGCTGGAATTTATGATCCTTTGACAGTTAAGGAGTGAATTCATCATTTCCATTGTGATCGATTCCCAGCACAGTTCGTAATTGGAGACCTTCATAAGCCACGTTTACTAGCCAAAGAATAAGGCAAATCAAACTAATGTGTAATATAGTATACTGTCCCTTGTTTGATAAACCGCGGATCCCACTTACTCCACAAATGACGCAAATTGGGAAAAGCCAACTTATCTTTTTGAATCTGTTCCGTAATTTCAACAAACATCGACCCGTTAGGGCTAATTAAACTTCCAAGATAAGTGAAAGCAGTCAATGGGCTCAGCTGATTAACTCCATCAATGGCTTTGGCACAGACTACTCCTAAGAGAATTATTGGTCAATTCCTATTGGTTAATTCCTACTGGTCAATTTTACGGTCGTCCTAGATATCAATGTCACGTGCTCCAATGTTGTTTCTTATTGGTCGTCTTAACTGTCAATGTCACAGACTTCGATCCTGTTTCCTATTCGACCAAAATTTATATTTACGCATTATTTGTAACGTTTTATGACCACGACCAGGACCCGGTCCCGGATCCCTAATCCGGGATCCTGATTCTCTTCTGGATTCGGACCTCGTACTTTCTGGATGCTTGTAGAATACAGCTTCTACTTCATATCAAGCCTTCTTATTTTTACTCAATATGAGGGTTGGGATAATTGGATTTGAGTAGCATGTCGTGTCGCCGGATCCTCGCTCTCGTTTTCCGACTAAGTAAACTCGTAATAGTTCAAGTATATCAAGTTGACGTGTTTACGTGCAGGCGTAACAATGAAGTACCTAAATAAGGTATCATATTACTGAGATTTTCAATTCATAGTGTAGAATTGTTTTTGTCTTAATTTGTTATAAGATTTTTTTTCTTTTCTTACAGCATTTACTTTCTATTTTAGGTACGTTCACTTTCTGAAACGGGTCTTCAACAATTAAGTATCGATTTATCTTTGTGTGAATCATTCGCACGTTCACAACCTGTTCCAGGTTTAGATCGTACTACTCTTTGGTTGATTTTTGCAGATTTAAGGCAATTATTGGATTTATATCACAAAGATGATTGGGCTTCATATATTGCATTTCGTAAAAATATTAATGGTTAGTAGTCATCCTGTTTTTTTTGATATGGATATTCTTAAAATTTGCATACTGTATTATTTATCTCATGCTCAATTCTTTTATTCCTCTAGTTTAAATGTGCGACTACAGATATGAAGTTGCATTTTTGGTCAACAAAAAGTTATATCTTCTCAATGTATATCTCAGTTTTTTAGGACTGTTTGCATACCGAACTGTCACCAACTATAAAAGCATCGGAGGCGGATGATATTAAGGGGTTATATTGAATTTCTAGCCTTTGACCACTTATTTTAAAACTGTTTAGCTGTCATCAGAAAAGTTGTCTACTTGAAATCTGTTTCAGAAAATTAGCTATACAGTTAAGTTGCAAAATGAATGAACGTGATTTTGTAAAAAGTTCACTACTGATCATGATATTCAGATTGATAAGGATTCAGTTAGAGAAATCACAATAGCTTACATGTTTTTCTTGTTGTCTATTCTTTGAAGAAGTAGATGTCAATGCACTTAGATTTATTTATTCAACATATAAAATGTGGTATGAAAATGGTTTAAAACTTTACAGCTAAAGATGAAAGAGCGAGTAAATATTGTTAACATTTTTTATAATAATTCCTAAATTAGATAAATATTTCAGTGGAATCTCTCACAACACAGTACATTTTCAGTTGAGAATCCCTTGCTTCTACCGAGACTTTAGTGTTGAATAAAGTGCTTATTGTCATCATTATTGTCTAAGGAATAAAATTATTAATTATATTATCCCAAACTTGGTAGCTGAATATTACTATACTCACCATTTAGATTAAAATACTACAGCTGACTGTGTTCACTACCTCAAACAGTTTCTAACTGATAACATTCAGTCAGTTACAACGTAGAACTTTGTACGTATGCTCATCAGTTCAGGTTGCCATGCCACATTAGCACAGAGATGCAACTATCAACTCAAATCCCATAGTGGTAAATATAGTAGAAGTATTAGCATTAATCGAGAAGATTAGGGTTCGAAGATATAATTCGAGAGGTATAATTCAGTGCGATAACTTTAGAAAAAGAAAGGTGAGAGTGATGACGAATTCAGATGATTAGAATTCCATAGAACTCGACGAGTGGATGCACTTGCGCTACCGCAAATGATTTCGAGCCATATCGTCCAAGGTCTCTAACCATCAGTTACTATCATCTCACGGACCCCAACCAGGTAGTCTGCATCTACCAACATGATTCAGTCCACTTCTTAGTGATTTCATGGATTTCTGCCATGTTTTGGCTTGGCCATCAAAGCTCTCTTCCAACCTATCCCTACATCAGACAACACCGCTCTTCGAGGCATTTGGTGACCGGTCATACGTAATACGTGTCCTAACCACCTCAACTGATAGAGTTTCACAACTTCATCTATTGATTTGCCATCCCTACCTAGTAGTCGTTTCCTAACGACAGCATTGCTTACTCGGTTGTCCTAGGATATATGAGCAATAATAATGTTGGCAAGCAGTATGAGCATCGTTTAATGACATTAGACTTAATCTTAGTTGCTAAATATTATAAAGTTCATAGGATCCTGTGCGTTTTGTAGAGATTCTCAATGACTTAACTAACCTCAAACTAAATTTACCTGTCTGGGCTCACAGTTAAGAAGCTTTTTTCGCTGCATCAGAACTAGTCATCATACAACAACTACCCTTTATGTAGCAGTCGTATTTATATTTTGCGATCTACATCAACGTGCACTGTCAACTGACATGGATGTGAGTTAAAAAACTGTTTTGGATAGGCACATCATGACATAAATAACAGCAACCGTAAAATTCATGAACTGTTGTTCAAAATGATGTCGAGAAGTCCAAACTGTATGGTTTAGGCCCCATCAAACAGTCGTGGTTTAACGGCTGACCGAGATAAATTATATAACCCAAAATCCATCGGTTACATCCTTTCTCAAAATCTATCAGTTAGATGTTATCCGTTATTTAACCATTCTCTAGTCCTTTTTTTATCCTTTTTCATGTCCAGATTATTATCATGGTTGACATCATCTTTTCTTTGCTTTTCATCCGATTAATTTTCCATCTCACTATAATAGCATGAAGTATGGTAACCTGTTCTCCGACATATATCAGTCTATTCGTTCATGCTGATTGACAGATTATACTGTGCTTTATCTGTCCCCCTTTTCATTCAACATCGATTGATAAAATATATTATCATGTTAAATAAGGTTGCCAAGTAACCTTAAAATAAATTTACAGTGCTTTAATTCAATTTCATGTGATAAAAAATTTACTAACAGAATGTTTACGCATTCATTCATGAGAGTATTTGTATCCAAACACCATTGAAGAGGTTACTCACATGACCGAAATTCAAGTAAACTAACAAAATGAGCTTTAAACAAATAAATTATACAAAGGACTACACTTTATGCCTCAATTTATCCTATTTACATGTTGATGATTTTCCAGTCATGGAAACCAACATATTTTTTTGCTAACTATATATATCTAGTACATATTCTCGTGCTCACCTTCATGCTGCAATATTTATGTGAGTGATAGTAAAATTATCCAGCCAGCTGAACCAAAATCCATGATAAAGAGACTAGAATCTATGACTTATTAGTTGCGAAACAAGTGTATTTGAGAATGAATCTGATGATCATAGTGTTTGATTGAATTAGAGCAGCATGAAAAAATTAGCTAAAATCAATGGAATTTTTAAATATCTACGCAAAATACTAATTTCCTTTTATTAAAAAAAGAAACGGAAATGGGTACTGACATAAAAATAGACTGATCAACTATCCATCACAACAAGTTCCTTTTTAAACAAAACTCATTTCATTACAAAAGAGAAAAACTGTAACATTTCACAATTTAAATCATGAACTAATCCTAAACAGCACTAAGCAGTTATTTTGCCCTATTATATGGCTTGTCACCGAAACATATTCACTACCCTACTAAGAGTTAACCCCACAATCTTCACATATCTCAGAAAGCGTTTAAACTGTAGACCATTGAGTCGATATCTAATGCTTTACATATGTGACTTCGATTAATTCGCGATATTGTTCAGACATCTTTCAATTCCTTTAGTAAGTAATTGCTTCGCACACTCAATATGGTCGAACTTCACTGATCACAACTTCTTACATGAAATATCTCTCGAAATTAGTCACTGAAAAGCACTTGATCATTATTGTTATACTGAAATAAAATGGCTGCATGTGTTTCTTGGTTTTCAACGTTTATCTGACTAAGATAAATCTTTGATGCAATTTAAATCGCAACTGTGATCATGGTACTTTGTATCAATCAAACATTTAATTTATGTTAGGAATCATTCTAAACTTACTACTTTTAGTTCTTTTCATTTCAAGGAAAAATGTACAAATTCGAATTCCAGTATACTACTACTGATTGTTAAGCGTTTTCATTACCTTTTGTGACATGTTTTGTCTACATTTTAGTGATGGTTTAAATGATTTTCAGTAGACAGTTTCATAAATAAAAGCAATTAAATTAAAAATGTTGAATTATAAATCATAAGACAAGCCAATTTTCATAGGTAATAAAAGGTATGCATATTATGTAACAGGACAGTGTAATGTTTTCTTTGTTCTGATTTCTGAGCTTATGTAAATGAACAAAGAATTTTCTTTTCAATAAATCCTCTTCATATTTTACAATTATATATGCAAACCAATAATCCAAAAGTGGTCAGGTTTAAAGCATAATAAACTGTTTAAAATCACAGCATGTAAATTGAGGATTGTTTGTAATATTAATATCAATAAAAAAGGCATCAATAATAAGCGAGAAAATGAACTGACCAGCTTTATAACAAAAAAAGCTTAAAGACCAACGGGTAATTTCATCAAATATAGATACGAAACAATTAAGCCCATAGGTTATATGAATTATCGAAGGTACATAACATGAATATCCCATTTAAGCCTATTCCGGTCATGTACAATTACTCTTATCATACTTACGTACGAAGTTCTGCGTTGTATCTGTCTGTCTTATCATACTTTACAACAGTGGTCAATAACTACTTTAAAACCATTCCACCAACACCTGATTGAAGCATGGTTTTAATGATGTATTCGAGTTCGTCCGCAAGATTAGAAATATAAATACCGAAGATCAAAAAGTGATGTCCTTATAACTGATATAATTGTTTACAGACATCTCGCCTCGGTGGACTGTAGAATATATCTGTTAACGAGAAATACAGACATTAATCTCAGTTGACATCATTAAGGAATTGTTACTAAAATTTACTTCGACTTCAGTGGTGACTTTATGGGCAATCAGTCAGTCACAACGTAGAACTTGGTGTTTGCGTACATTTCTTAAGTTACTGTAGCACATTAGCACAAACAGATGGAATGGTCAGTTCAAATCCCATTATGGCGGAGGTTATGACAGTATTAGCGGTAATGGAAAAGGTTGTAGATCAAAGATATAATTCAGGAAATATATCCTAGTGAAATAAATGTAAAATGAGACAGTCGTGAGGAATTCAGATTAAAATTTTAGAGAAGGCAAAAATGGATGCACCTGTGCCATTGCAAACGATTTTGATTGATTTAATCCAAAGTTTCTAACCACTGGTTACGACTGTCACGCAAACCTCACCCAGGTAGTCTAAACCTACTGACATGGCTCACCCTCATTGTCAAAGACTTCAAGGACTGGAGCCACATTTTGGTTAGGCCGTCCCTAGCTCTCTTTAAACCTATCCCTACATCAGACAACACCACTCATCCAGACATTCGGTGATCAATCATACGCAATTCATGTCCCAGCCACCTCAACTAATGAAGTTTCACTACTTCGTCTATTGATCTTCCATCCTTACCTAATACCGCTTTCTTAACAATAGCACTGCTTACTCGATAGTCCCAAGATATATGAGCAATGCTTCAGAGATACCTCTGGTCGAAAACCAGTAACCTACAAATATCCTCTACTCTTACTGACCATGTTTTGAAGTCATAAATTAGGACGGAGCAAACTGCTGCGCAGTACACTCGTCCTTTGGTTGTCAGACGGATATATCTCCTATGCCATACATAACGCGAGTTGGAAGAAGCCAATCGAGCTTTCTGTATCTACGCTAAGATTTCGTTGGACACCAGGCCGTCAGCATTGATGAGGTTCCCGAACTGAGTGAAGCAGTCAACCCTATTCTTTTACACAACACAGATTTCGAATTTTGAATAGCCAAATCTTCCGTTATATAATGTAGGTCCAAGTGTACACCTTTTAGTGCAGTTGACTGGATTCTTTAAATGGTCACATGGAGCTTCATTGTTCTATATCCCCAAAGACACACACTGTTGCAGAATTCATATGAAATGTTATTTTTCTAACGTTGATTTTGTTACTTTAATACTCATATTCCTCTCTTCATATTAAAAAAAGTCCCTTATTTTTTTCCATAAAAATCTTGTTTAGGATCGGGAAAATTCGGTAAGTAACAAAAATTAATATTGCATTTTTTCAAGTGGTAACTATTTTTTCTGTTTTGTAAATTAAAATAAGGTGAGATAAGTGTATTCTTGTTGAAAAACTTTCATCGACACACTTAGTTGCAAATTTTTTTGTTCAGATTTAAGCTACACTTTGGGTCGTGTATAGACTAATGAATACCACCATGGACCACCATGGATCGTGGTATAATAAACAAATGAACGGAGTACACATTTTTACAGCCCTATAGTTGAAATCCTTTACCTGTTAAGCTTTACCATGACTAATCACTAAATTTTCGGCTTTATTTAATCATTGTAAACCAATAATTTATTACTTAATGCATAATGTATTAATCACTATACATGTTAAAGCGAAAGATTTTAATATCTTTTAGAATGAGATTGTTTTAAACCTTCTTAAACAACCTGAACCAGGTAATGCTTAAGAAACTAAATATTATACGACTTATTTTTAGTATTGAGGCTTATTAAGTGGATTCATAAACTATCAAATAATATTCTAATATGCAAAGTAATGAAATTTGCTGTAAGTTGCCTTCGTACAATATATGAAGTCTACTATTGGTAAATTTAACTCTATCATGCATAAACCGAGGCTTTATTATTTTATAATCTAATCTGTACACAATCATCTATGACTAATACTTCATCAATGTCTGTTGTCTTTCAAACAACACTTAACATACTGTTTGTGCAGAGGTGATTCAATGTACATTGAGCTTGAAAATAATTACAATTATTGTAAAATTTTTAAGGTCATTTGCTAGTTTATTTTTAATGAAGCTTTATTCAATAAAATATAGTTTATAAAAAATAATTCTAACGTATATTACTACGAATAAATATTGTTACTTTTTTTATTGAAAATCAATATCAGGCAGTGCTTATGATCGTGTACCTCCGAGTGTAGCAATCAAACTGTTAGAACGTTTACGTGATTCCGATAAAAAACGCACTGGATTCCTTCAAGCAATGCGTAAAGAAGAACGAGGTCGAAAGAAAAAACTAGACGATATAATTCGTCAATTACGTGAATTGAATGTTACTCCTAAAAATAATTAATCTCAAAAAATGACATATTTGAACAGAAACAAAAAATGATGAAAATTTTCTAGAAAATCTAGAATAAATCTCGACATATATCATCGTTTCTTTTGTTTGTTTAATATATTATATACATTCGAAACAGCTTCGATGGTTGTGCATGATGTTAAGTGAACCATAAATATACATATACATAAATATATGTATATATATAGCTTGCATTCATTTCATGTAAAAAATTTTCTTGTGCACTGATATTTTTTTGAATTATTTTTTTCTTTTGTTTTCTTACTCACTCAATCTGTACACACAAATTTGTAAAGAACTAATTATTTTTTATTTATAGCCAAAAAAATACAAATGTTCATTTTCTGATTTACTCAGTTGGGTTTTTTTAAAATACTCTTTACTTTAATGAGATGATAAACAAATAAAGATAAATTAGTGTGTGTGTGTGTGAAAAAACTGACCTAAACAAAATGGAAATGTACAATGAATACGCTATAATTTGTTGTGATCCACGTACCCTCTTTCTTATCCGAGTTATTTAAAGTAGTGGGAATATGTTTTCGACCCTTGGATTACGTAAACCAAAGCAGACGAAGCTTATTCTGAGCCTACCTCTACACAATGTAAAGTAAGATATTTTTCCATTAAGCTACCTCCACACATTTCGAGTAGTTTACTATGATATGCATAATCACGGTAGAAAAGTAGATTTTATCAGCTCATTGAAAGTGCTTAATTTACAGGAAGCTTATCGGTTGTTTACGATCATCAGTTAGTAATCATTAACATCAGCAAGCATACGGCAAACCTGCTTGAATAATTTCCATCACAGCTGAAAAATGGTTACCATAATACTGAGTTTTTTCCTCTAGAAACTAATTAATTCGTTTATCGGAAGTGGGATACAAGTTTATTTAATGTTGCCATGATCGTAATGTCATTAATAGTCATATCTGTTGAGCATAAACGAACGGATGTGAAGACTTATTTCATACCGAATTTAGATTCTGCAGTAGTTCAACTATTCTGTGTCCTCTTGTTGGCTTCATTATAGCAGTAGAATATATCTTTTTTCTTAAGGTGAATTCATGAAATGCTTTGTTTCACAACAGTTTATCAATATGATTACGAACAGTGGTGAATAATCATTGATTATCCTGTGACTTTTATTTCTATCATTGTTTATTAAACAACGGCTAAGTGCCACGGAATTCACACTTAATAATTCTGCATAAAGTTAAGAACATACATTCCTGAATATTCACATGCCTAGTCAGTTGACAAATGACTATAATACTGCATTGATGACTTGGTGCCATCACATTTAGTAAAACCTAGTTTATCAGTGCTAAAATATTAGCTGGTTAAGAGGATATAAACAAATAAACTGCATTGCCATCAAACTATATATACTAAATAAGTATCGTGGAGGCCTGTCACTAACTTTTGAGCTAAAGGCTAGACACAGAATCGAACTAACGAAAAATATGTCAGTAGGCACCTTGTTACTGATACAATGTTAATAGTGCTGAGTGGACGTGTAGTTGGTCATCTCAGTGACACTAAGTTCAAGTGAAGATTGGATGCGAAACCGACCAAATTAGAGTCGGCAATCGCATTGGCGATTTGCCACATGATATTAATCAGCGGTCACAAAACAATTCATTTAAGTTTTAGGAAATACTTTCTAAAAGCAACCTATCTCTCGAATTCCAGCATTTATTACGAAAATATAACTTCAGCATATACAAACTATATTACAGATTACGTTATAACTTAAGAATAGTTCGTTTAGAGTTTATTTAGTTTTGTAACAATTAGGAGCCTGATTGCTTGATCGAACGCCACACAAACTGCCAAGCCTAACTTATCTGGACACCAATCTACGCTGCATATTGGTTGAGTAGAGAAGGTAACATTCTGAAGCTGGGTTAAGTGACCGATTACACCTTGTGCTACCTCGATATCACCATTTCCCTCTGGATTTTCTTCCTTCACTATCTTCTGGCGTTTATTGGGATAATGATACTGCCATAAACATAGTGATCCATTCCCACCAGCAGTCATAAATACATCACGTTGCTGAGGTAGATGACTAACCTGCCAAATAGTAGCACCTTGATTTTTCTCAACTAATGATGCGAATCCCTTCTTTGGATGTTGTGTCCGCATATCCCATACATGTATTTTTCCTTCTAGTGTAGTCGCAACCAGTTTATTCATAGATATATCTTTCCTATCGAACTGTAGGCAACAAACACCGTTCTTAATGTTGGTCTCCCAACGGACCTTCATGGCTCGTAGATCAAACAACTTTATATCACCATTATCATAACCTGCAGCCAGGCATCTATCGTGCTTATTATATGCGTGACCAAATGCAACAGTCCAGCAATCCCGTCTGTTTTCGGTAACTGAGTTTTCCATACAATCAGAAGAAGCAGGTTCCATAGTAGCAACTGGGATTTTAGCTTGTCTTGGGTCCCACACTTTAACTGTACCATCTCTACTACCTGTGGCGATTTCTGGGGCCCCCTCACCAACTCCGAGTCCTCCAACACCGTCTATAGCGTTTATTATCTCTTTATGAGCTTGTGCGCCATAGACTGGATTGTCAAGGCGCCCATCACTACTGATATCCCAAATTGCTAGTCTTCCATTGAACGCCCCAGTAGCTAAATGTCTTTGTGGAAGCATGGATGCACCAAATGTACAACATTTGAACGAACTACTCTTCTCACTCTGAAAAATATGAAACATCCACAGAAATTAAAATAATACCAGCAAATAAAAATAGGATATTTCATAGAAAGAATAATCTACGTTTTTAGTAAAGGAAGTTCGCACTCCCCAAAAATGCGAAGACGTATTTTTTGAATTAAATAACTTTGTCTGACCTTCAGTAACTTGTGATGTATGAAGTACTCATACTTACCGAAGTGAGTATATTAGTTGGTGATTGACTCAATATTACTTTACTGGGCTTTGACAGGAGAGGACATGCGTAAGCAGCGGGTTTCCGAATACATGTGACAAGTTGACCGTATTTTACAGTTTAGCTATATTCATTTACATTTAAAGCTGAGCTAAACACAAATATGCACACAATAGTTCTTTTTGAAATTTTTAGACTGAGTGTAAGTGCCATTCTAAAATCCTAACAACTCTGAACAAAACATGACCGTGTATCCATTTTAAACAACGTATGATATCGCCTGTCCAACTTTTTAAGATATTCTTTCCGCAAGATAAACCACGCTATTCGAGCTCCTAAACTGAAGATAAACATCTTTATAGCTGTATCAAACTATTTACTTATAGCTTAATCATTCTGTTAGTGTACAAATGCGGGTTCTAGGCAAGACAAAGTAACTAGTAGGAGGGTTTCAGATAGGTATAAACAACCAAGTTTGGAGGATAGTAATCTATAAAGGGTTATTATACAGCAAATTTATGGAGATCATTGAGGTCTTACTTCAGATACCAGTTGAATATCTTTCGCAGAGACATCGTATATCTGAATAGCGCCAGTCCCTCTAGGCTTTGAGCCAACGACTACAAACTTGGCACTAATTGGAATCCATTTACAATCAAAAAGCGTGAAATCAACAGATTTAGTAATATGTCCTATCATTTGAGGTTTATCCATTGTCACCTAGGTAGCCGAGTAACGTCTTCACTTGAATTAGGACAGTATACAAGGTCATATAACTAAAAAAGGAGTAGACTTTGTAGTTTAACATTACTATCATTGACTACTTCCGACAGACATAGTGAAAGTAATAACTAGGCGAAATATGCTTGCACACATTGTTTTACATTACTGACAAGTGATTTTCTGCTACAAATCATCTCTAATAGATATCCGAAATCTTTTTCACGAGCAAGTTTCTTAGCGTCTGATTCTTGTTCTTTCTGTCAGGTTGAAGGTATTTGAAACGATAAATAAATCTCTGTAGTTAACATATTTTTGTTAGTGTTTAACATCGATATAATCCGTTTTGTTTGGAAAGTTTATTTCGTTGCATCGTTAACTCACTTTATGGGTATGATCGAATACATCTATTCTCCTATTCATCGTTGCCCTCTCTTTTATTGTTCGCTGTGTGGTTTTTTTGGAGAAATTATACGTTATATTTTTGCCAAACCCATGATATTATTTTGAACTGATTTCTAACCAGTTTGTGGCACGTAGTATTTATGTATAAGAATAACTTCGTTATAGCTGATCACAGAGATGCACGAGTTGCAGGTTGAATCCCGTAAAAATCTTAAGCAAACTTTAAACAGCGTGATATTAAGGGATAACTAGTGATTGTCATAAGCACACGAATGCTTCAGGTTCTAGAGCTATGATTTTCTAAATAGATCACTCCCGCGCTTCAGTTTAGAAGTATATTTAGTATTCAATACCATTATCAGCACTTTAGTTTTCCAGTTGTACCAATAACTTGATGATCGAAGACAGCACCGCATTATACAATTATCGAGGGATAGCGGAAGCAAACAGTGAAAACCAGACTAATACATAAACGACTTTGGAGCGATGTGAAAATGACCCTGAGGAGTTAGGAATAGTATTTGGGGTAGCTTGTATATGGTGAGAATTTGATTTAAGGGTTTTCATTCCAAACGGACATAAAATATAATGTCAAAATGCCATTTAACCTTGTGGATGGATGAATGCTCGGCATAATCCAAGACGTTCTATTTGAAATGTGAAGGTTCGTCCATAAATTACAATGTCTCCATAAAAATATATCTTTATCAGGTCAATATTTGTGTCTGATATTCTTTGAGTTAGATATTGGCATAGATCTCCATTGGAGTTAATGGTATGTCCTGCAGTACAGTGGATAATATTACGTCAGCTATCAAATACAACAAAGATATTTACTTGATTCTGTGAAACATACTTCTTTCGCTTTATCAACATCTGAGTACTTTTCTCACACTAACTATAATGATCAAACGTACAAAGATACAAACCTATTACTGTTACTTCCAGTTCTTCTCCGTATGATATGTGCTCGCTCAGACTCTGAAATCAGTCTTATTTCGTTGCATATAAATTTTAGGATACTGCTAATTGGTTAGGTATTACACTGAAATTATCAAATTATCTTGTATATATAGTGCAGTTTGCTTCTTAAAGACAAGTTTTCGAAGTCCTTTTTCATCTGATACATCCGTTTTGAACTAACATTCCTACGTGCTCTAAATAAGGCCTGACTAGTTCGATAAGTAAAATATTACGATTCTTAACTTCTGAATATATTTGTTCAAACGTATTAATTGGCTGACAGTAATTCTTTCACCTCAAAACTGAACAGCTAGTGTTAAATATCTCTTGTTAACGTACATTCAGTGATCTTAATATTAGACTTGTTAGAATTCAAAAAGTTATACAGTTGTGCATCTGCATTAATTTTAAAATATTATGATGTTGAATATAACATATTCTCGAATAACTATATTCCAGTTTATGGGCAAGATCAGAATGTTAAAATTGCTAACGCATTTACTCTTAATGGCTATTCAGTTAGATAAGTATTTTCATCAAATAATTTTCACCTAAAATTATTAACAATGCTTCACACACTGGAATGTAAAATCGTTGGCGCGAGTTATATCGTTTGTTTTACGATTAACCACAGCTGGTTGAGAATCAGTCCAAGGTAAATCCAGTTCTCTATATCAAATGAATTGATGACGTAAATGTGTAACGACCTTCTTGTTGAGATTCGCCAGATAATAATTTGACAGGCTCCAGGTTAGAGCAGCTTTAAGTCTCCAGCAATAGTAAGGCCAATATTTAAGGAGTAATAATAATAATAATTTATTCTTAAATAACAAACATTTTACAAGAGATATTCCAATTTACAGTTAAGATCAAAATGTTAAGATTAGCAACATATTTCTTTTAAAACGGTATACTGATACTGAGACATTTCACGAGATTCATTGGATTCCTAAAGATGGAATGTACAATGCGAATAATGGGCGTCAGTTACGAAGGTTGCGTTACGACAATCATCTTATGGACTGAGAAATGATTCATGGTAGAGACAGGTTTTCATATAACAAGAATTGATGCGGTAAATGTACAAAGGTCTGGTTGATATTCATCAGCTAATGATTTCATATGTTCTTGGGCAGGGTCACCAAGTCTACTGCAAATATCCAGACTAATATATGAGGATTGGAATAAGGTTCTGAAAAAAGAGGAATAAAGAATACGGGACGAGGAGCGGAACAGAAAATATTCTTGTTTCAAGCCGAACAACGGCTTCGAACATACGTTCATGGATAAAACAAAGGTATGTTTACTCAGACTTTTTTAATATCAGAGCACCAACTGTACACCTGCGCTTATGTAGGTTAATAAAGACAATTCAGTAGTGAGATAACTAATGGGAAGTTAGTCGTATGAATAGAGGCGAGTATGAATAGAAGAACGAAGTTGTTAGTAATAATGTTGATTTACAAAATATAATAATGAGGCTCACTGATCTTGTTTTCGTCTTATTTTATTTATTCTTCTTATTTTTAACTCTGTGGCTCAAGAAGTTATCAATGAGCTTTTTTTATCATAGTAGTAGTAGAATGAGGTGCTGGAAAAGAGAAAAGGGAGAGAAGCAGAACAGAAAATATCTCTGTTTTAAACTGAGTCGTAACTCAGCAGATACGTTATAACAATAATTTATTCTGAAATAACAAACATGTTACAAGAGACATGCCAATTCACGTTTTGGATAAAAAAAGATATGATTATTCAGACCTTTGTTTTTTCTGTATCAGAACATTAACTGTACACATGCACTTATGTAGGTTATTGAAGACAAGTCACTAGTTAGATAACGAATGGACCAATAATCTTCTGAATAAAAGAGATTAAAAAAGAACTAAATTGTTAGAAGTTTCGTTGATTTTCAGAATATAATCATGAAGGCAAAGTGATTTCATTTGTTGTCTTTTAAAAACCGTTGCTCAAGAAGTCACTAGCTTTCCCATTATAACTGTTCAGATCAACCTGCATTAGGACTTCTTAGTAGAAAGTGAAACCGGTGCAAGGTTACGAAGATGGATCGTAGATGTATTTGACATGGAAAAGTAACATCAATATAATTGAATACTTAGATCCTGATAGGTCGTAAGGGATCGTAAGCTAACAAAACATTTACTCTTCAGACATGGGTAGATTGAGGTCGTCGACATACTGTCACAACTGCTGGTCAGATACACCACTCTCCCACTTTTGTGGTGTTGGGCTCTCTTACTTTATGTGGTATGTCTCAACAAATGCTTTGGCCTAATTCCTATTTCTCGCACACCTCGAAATACACTGTCTCTACTTGCTCCATGTTACAAACGAATCAGAGTAGTTTAGCTTCTTTAATGCTAATATGTTAACTAATAGTATGAAATCTAAGATGCAGTTCTTTTAATAGGTCGTTTACCGATAGGAGCGATTAGCAGATGACGAAAGAATATGAAGAAAGATAGCTTAAAAATTCATGGGAAAGGCAACAAGACAGTAAGAAAGCAAGGTGTTTTGAATGTTAATAAATCATGAAAATAAAAATTTAATGAGCTGTTAATACATGGCCAAAAGGGAATCCTAATTATACAAGAAGTTTGATGTCTTTGTGACCGACGATATTTGATCAGCATCTTCAGGCTATTCACTTTGTCTGTCTGATAGAAGAAAAAGCCAAAAATGCTGTGGAAGATAAGAATTTAAATAGTGAGGAAACTCCAAATAATAGGGGGAAGGAGCAAAAAGGAGTGGCCTGCAGCTGTTAGTAGAAGGGGTATGTGTCGATCATTTTGTGGTACTTCAATTAAAGCTAGGCCATTCAATACTTATCTGATCGACGTCTTTAATGACGTTCACAGTATGTGCGACCTAAACGAACTAGTGACCACATACTGTTTTTGGTATCAAGAAAGCTTTCGACCAGGTGCTTCATAGTCTCTCAATCAGTAGACTTCATTCCTTCACGATTATAAATCTCCTATTTTAATGTGTAAGATCTGTTGTCACAAGTAGATACTAAATTACCAACATTGATTCTACAACATCTACAACTCGACCCATAATCACTGATGTTGTGCAGGGAAACGTCTTGTTTCCATCGCGTTTTATAATCCATGTTAACAGCTAGTTCACTTGCTCCAAAATAGAGGTAAAACCTTTCTTTAAGCTAATGACTTAAAATTCACCAATCAAACTAACCAAGTGACGTAGGAAGTGTAACGCAAACGGCCCAGAATGAATTCGACGAAGTCGACATGCAGTATGAGCATTTAAATTTGGAACTTATTGCTTAGGTATACGGCTGGGAGTTTTTTAGGACTACGTCTGCTAAAATAAATCTCACACTCAGCAAGAAAGCAATGTCCGAACCTCCATCACTAACTAAATGTGGATTGCATAACGTTCTAAACATATTTCCACCAAAGAATTCTAAATGAGGCAGTAGCTGGATTTCGTTTTTCGAAACTTCCTCCATAAAGAACCCAGAACTAATCTTTTAAAAACATGTGTAAAGCTTGTTGCTGTGTAATGTTCGTTCTAATTTTCGAACTTACGCCTACTTGAAATACTGGAGATAGAAGGAATACAAAGGCATTTTTATCCCAAAA